ACAGACCCACTTTTCGTCTGAGTCAAAGACAACCAAACCCGATACATGTCGCCTACACCAAGGGAAATATTTAACTTTCTTGGTTTACCGGAAAGTTTTTGTCTAAAGTCAAATTGTCTCGCAAACCCGTGAGGATTATACGCCTCAAGAATGAAGGTGAATTTTCTCGATGATAAGAAACAAATTCAGATCGAATACTCATCATGAATTTTGAAATATCTGCAAACCTCGGATGGTCATCCACACGTACATCAAGATGAGACGATGAGAGTAATGGATTCCAATAAAAGTCATTGGTGTCCATCGTTCCACGAATAAGTTCCCGACAATCAACAACATTTTTCTCCCAAAATTGGAAAGCATTCAAAGTGCCAGCATATCTTCGAATTCTAGGATGAGAATAACTCTTATCCATGTGAGAGCCCAAGCATAGAGAAAATGTCCAGGAAATGAATGTGAGATCAAGCCAAGTTCCAGGTTTGTCTAACAGTCAGATGTTCGTATAAGTCCCCTATAAATGCTCGCTAATATGGGATGAACCAGGCTATAAGCATACTCGCCTGCCATCCTAAAAGATGCTTTAAAAGTTCCAACTGTTATACATTCATCCCCAGATAGAAGAACGAAACGACAAAGCCACAGGGAAAGGTAAGCTGCTATCCCCAATTCCTCTTCTTCTTCTTCTTCTATAGACAGAGATACTGGCAGTTTGCTCCAATGACGTCGATCTCTACAAGTAATGTCTCTCGGTTTGTCAGACTCCACGAGCCTCTGTATTTCCTTCGATGCTCTTTGATGACGTCTCTTGAATGATTTAAATTCATAACATTCTTATAATTTTTGTGTTGTCGAGGATTTTGGACACAATCATTCTCGTGAAACCAAAAATTAATTCATTCTTCGTGAATAACCCTGTCAGATTCATTCGCATGGACAATTAATGCTAATATATTAAAGAGGTACAGACAAGACTTAGGAAGATGATCCGTCAACGCTGAAAGGCTTGGGACTATTTCCTCATAGTAATAACCCATGATCGAAAGTCTACTTATCTGGTAGATGTCTTAAAGAGAAATGCCAATTTCACGATTGGCAGTCACAAAGGTATTGGTCTCTAAACACCAAACCTCACAAGAGCTCTATAAATAGAGTTTAGGCAATGATAATCTTTTGTAGCAGAACTGACTGCAAAAGCTAACTCGCAAAGATTCCTTTTGAGTAGAAGTTTTTGGACCCATAAAGACCACTCCCAAAATTTTGGAAGAAAAGAAATCTCTCCTCAACTGACTAGTGCGCTTCCTCATCGTATTTCTCTATTTTCAATTCTCTCACAAATTACAGCCTTTGGGATGCACTCCATGCTTTGAGAATGATGAGGTGGAAGACACAGAAAGGTAAGATGACTGCTACAACGGTTGGACTTGCTGACATCCAAATTCTCAAGAAATTCACTAATGTTGGACATATGCAACTCCAACAATGGGTCCAGATGATCAGGAGAAGGATTCGTCATTGGCTTATGGACACTAAATTTAAGTTCACCTCGTACACCAGCCTAAGCATGATACTTCACATCAGTGTCTTTGAAATGCAGATAACTTTTGCCTTGATTTTTAAGCTCAACAATTTCGTGTATGTCAAAGTTTGCTTTATCATTAGAACTTATTCTACCCATGCCTGCAAAAAATAAATAAATAAATAAAAAGTTTAGCTAGAAAAAAAAAAAAAAAAGAGGAAGGGAGGTAAATCTCTTAAATTGGTTTATCATCTAAAATCAAGAGTCTCCCAAATATGTAAGCAGCCTCTACAAAAAGTGTCTTGGATAATCGAAGGAACAGGTCCTTGGTCCCAAACATGAAGTACCTTGGACTGTCGTAGGAACGGTCCTTGGTCCTCAACACAAAGTTTCTTGGACAGTTGAAGGAACAGGTCCTTCGTCCTTAACACAAAGTGCTTTAGACGATAAAATGAGCCAATCATTGGTCCTTAACACAAAGTGTCATGGATGGTCGAAAGAATGGGTCCTTGGTCCCAAACATGAAGTGACTTGGACGGTCGAAGGAACATGTCCTTGGTCCTCAACACAAAATGCCTTGGACGGTCGAAGGAACAGGTCCTTGGTTTCAACCATGAAGTGTCTTGGACGATCGAAGGAACATGTCATTGGTCTCAAACATAAAGTGCCTTACATGAAGTGCCTTGAACGGTTAAAGAAGTAGGTCCTTGGTCCCCTACAAAAAGTGCATTAGATGGTGAAACGTGACAGTCTTTAGTCCTTAATGTGTATAAAGGTTTGCAATTTTAAGTTTGTTTATAAGCATATATTTCCTGAACTTATAAAATAATTGCAAAAAAAAAAAAATTAACATTTGCACAAAGAAAACTTTGAACCTCAAAATCCTTGATTCGCTCCAAAAAGGTTGAATCCTTACAGTAAAAAAAAAAAAAGTTAGTTTCAACTTTGTTCAAACAAAAGTACAAAAACAAAATTAACAATAACAGTAATCAACCAAAAAAAAAAGAAATAAATAAAAAAAAAGAAAAGAAAAAACAATAACAGTAATCAACCAAAAAAAAAAAGAAATAAATAAAAAAAAAAGGAAAAGAAAAAAAAATAGGAAAAAAGGGGGGGAGGGGTTTACGTGTAATATATATATAATGTTAAGGTTTCTGCCAAACAGAAACCAAAGTGCCCACAATTTGGTCACTTTTGGTTTCCGCCGCCCAGATGACGGAAACCAAGAAACGTATTAATAATAATAATAATAATAATAAAAAAAAAAAAAGGAAAAGAAAAAAAAATAGGAAAAAAGGGGGGGAGGGGTTTACGTGTAATATATATATAATGTTAAGGTTTCTGCCAAACAGAAACCAAAGTGCCCACAATTTGGTCACTTTTGGTTTCCGCCGCCCAGATGACGGAAACCAAGAAACGTATTAATAATAATAATAATAATAATAAAAGGGGGTCACGTCAAAAAAAAAAAGAAAAAAGGAAAAAGAAAATGATTTCTACTAAGCAGAAGCCAATTACTGCAGAAACCATAATGTGTGGAAACCAACAAAAAGTAAAATAATATTATAAGAGAGAGAGAAAAAAAGAGAGGGGGGATAACAAGAAATGAAAAAAAAAAATCATTTACCTCTATTTGCAAGATTTAACAGACTTGTTCCCAAGTCTTATAATTTCTTCGCATAAATAGGCGTGTAACGGGCTTTTCTTAGGCCCAATTTACCATAAAACATAAAAAGCCTAATCAAATAAAATTTGTTATGGGTCGTATAAAATAAATAAATAAATAGATAATCAAAATTCGACAAAAAAATTTATTATTCTCAAATTCAAGGGACTAGAATTTTATTAAATTCATTCTCAAATTTTTCATCAGTTTTAATTTACTAATAGGATGTTTGAGATCAAATCAAATAAAAAAAAATCGAACAAATCAAGAAATTCGAAATCAAGATTTATTAATTTATTTATTTCATAATAAATAAATAAATCTTGAGAGTCATTTGTAGACATAAATAAAATAAAATAAAATGAATTGGGCTGATTCAAATCATTAGCCCAATTAAATTTTTAGTCTACTAAAGTCCATAAAACCCCGAAAACCCCTATCAAATTTTAAATAAATAAACAAACAAACAAATAAATAAAATCATAATTACTCAATTATTCATTTTAATTAAATATAATTGAGTAATTACCAAAATTAGCACAAATTCTCCCCTATAAATAGAACCAAAATCTTCTTCGAATCAAACAGATTCACACTAAGTCCAAGAAGATCAAAGTCTTTTTCAAATCAAATCAAATTCAAGTTCAAGCCTCAAGATTCAAGTTCTGAATAAGTCAAGTCTCGACAAATCAAATTTTCAACAAATTCTCGAAGACCAGGATTCAAGCCACGTGGCCCATTGTCTTCAAATATTCATATTATTAATCAGGAGATTTTTGCAATTTTGCAATTACAAGAAGGCTAACATCACTTGTATTTTTATCAAAAATACAATTTGTAACGATTTCTGTATTTTAATACATGAAATTTCGTCGTATAGTACCACCTTTATAGAGCTGAAGCTTTTCTCTTAAAAGTTTATGAAAAAGAGAAATGCATGACCATAAGAGCGCTAAACAATATTGTATGGAACTTGGAACAATTAATTCTCGTGTGTGTGATTTCATCGATATCATCACAAGGAATGATAGGTTCAAAGCTTTTATGCTACCTAGAATTTCAATGATGACTTTGTGAGATATACGCTAAAGTTGGGTTCAAATCAAAAGATATCCATACTCTATACATAAATATTATTAAACTTGAGTTTGAACTTATTTTATATTTGAGTAAGTGGAAGATTGCTGGATATTATTCAAATTAACAATTAGGAGTAAATTTGAAAGTGATGAGAGTGATCAACCATGAGAAAAACAAGCGGAAACAAAACGAGAACAAAAAATGGTAGAAGCAGGAAAATGGCCTGGGCGATTGCCCGGCCTAGATTTTGAATTACGGAAGCCAATTTTGTAAACGAGCGATCGTTCGGTTTTGTAATGGGTGATCACCTAGCACAATTTTTTGTTGCTTAATGGCTTTTGAATTTCAGCTTCATTTTGAAGGGTTTTTACCTCTTTTTGGCTTTATATTTGTACCTTTTCGTGCATAGAGATTGAAAGAAATAACTCTCGCGGTAAATCTTGGTAAACAATGCAATGGTGTATACATGAAACGAGTATTATAGCTAGGAAAAGTAAATGAAACGACTCAAAGTCTAGTGGGTTACACATTGTAATCAAGGTAACAGCAATAATTCACAAGGCAACATACTAGTTGTGAAGGTGAACACAAAATGCTACAAACTTAAATGTATATAAAAACTAGAGATATTTTTTTTTCTCTTAGTATTAAACTGGATGGTATTCTCTTTAAATAGACTGTCAATCCATCTTACCGAACATTCGCAGTACAATTTCCATAATTTAATACATAAAAATATAACATGGATGAACGCAATACCCTTTTTTTCTGAACGAGGGTAAAATCACAAATTACCAGCTCTACATTATATCTGGATTCCTCAACCATAAAACGTTGGTCAAATGGCAAATAATGGGCAATAATTGACAAACAAATATTGGGACTAGAATCGTAAGTTTTGACAGAATTTTCAACTACACAATACCTAAATTTTGGAGTTCATATCACTACTGGTTAGGTTAAGCCACTCATTCTCAAAACTCATTGCCCACTTTGCTCGTTATCTGCTTGGCCGGAATCCTGACTGCACCTCGGATCATCCTGACTGGAACTTTCACCAAGTTTCTCCTGCAAAATCATATTTGTGGAAGAAAATTTTCATGAGATTGTACGCCTCAGCATTATTATCTTCGAAGACAAAACAAAGAGCAAAAGAAATTAAACTTATAGAGAAATTCCAGTTAGTGTACTTGAAATTTTTAATTTTAATCGAGTCACTCATTTTCCATGTTGATTGCCACATCTGCAACCATATTGGAGTTTTTCATTAGATTGGCTAGGGAATGGACAGAGTGACTACATTAAAAATAGTTATAAGACTAGTAATCAGTTTGAAACCAAAAAAAATGTACAGTGACTGAGATGAGATTACTCTACAAGTCCAGTAAATGCAAGTGAATTTACCTGCTTTTAAATAGTTGTTAATGAAAACATCAGGGCGTACGAACATGCTTCAATATTACCATCGGGAGCTAGCTTAAATCTTAATATTGATTTGCACCAAGATTTCTGGTAAGATTATAAACCCAAATATTGGATAATACCTTCAGAGATGCATTCTGGGCACAAAGTTGCTCATACTCGCTCCGTATACGAGCCACTTCTGCTCTAAGAGACGAGTTTTCTTCTTTTAAAGCTACAGCATGCTGGGCCAGCTCGTCGCATTCTGCCTAAAATCCAATATAACAAGACATAGAAACAGCATTAAGGTTTGCACGATAACTAGTGTGTGCATAGACTAAATTAGCTGTGAAATAACTCGTACCTGCTTGCGCAGTCTGGATCGGCGAGCAGATTCCCGGTTTGATTGCTTTCTTCTCTGTCTTTTAATCTCCCTTTCATCCTGAATTTAGAAGTAACATGAAGGCATTCAAGTAGCTAGTCACTCGAGGAGATTAATGGGGAAAAAAATTATTCTGCCAAGGAAAAGAACTGATATCCAATCATGGACATAAAGAACATTATGGACTGCAGGAAACATTGACCAGTAAAGCCAAAATAACCAACCTACATGATCATAAGCATTGTTCTACAGTCCCCTTTGACTTCACTCATAAGGGTCCACAATGAACGGAGTTGACAGTACATTTTCATAGACACAAGTCCATTTCACGTTTAGAAGGCCAATTCAATTTACAAAGCATTTTAATAAATGTACATAAAACCAAACAGGAAATAGTTGAGTGACATTTCATAAAACCTTTACGAGTTTTTACCTTTTTCCTTTCTGATCCTATATCAGAGTTCTCTATTATGCAGTTATGAATTAACGTGTGATGATAAGAATAACAAGAAAACCAGAAAATAGAATAAGACAGTGAGGAAGATCAACCCATGTTTCAAATTCAGAAAAATCCAACCATAAAAATAGGCCACTTTTCCCAACCTTTCTATCATACTGCAAACCAATAGTACTCTTTCTTGCATTGCAGAATGACAAGGAAACTAACTTTTTTGAATCTTACGTGTATAATGCTTCGAGAGGAAAAGGCTATTTAAATGGCTTAACTTTACCATTGATGAAAATAAGTGATACAATGGTAGCTTCAATCCTAACCTTTTATTGTCTATTCTTTTCATGTTCTTTTACATTTTATAGCATCTAATAATTAAGTTGGATTGTTGGTCAAGCACACACCCCCTTCTCCTAAATGCCTACATCACAAAGCACAAGGATTTTAAAACCTAAAAATAAAATATCAAAAAAAGGGGCAAACAAACCGTAGTATTTGCTTTGAAATATGGGTTACATTAGATAATGGCGATTCAAGCCATTTGGTGGGAGGACAAGCTTAAACCAATAAAATAATATCAAGACTGAAAACACAAAAGGATTATTGTGGAGACAGAAGTAAAACACCAGAGACTTGGTAATCAATTATAGTAATCAATTGATATGTTTCCTGAAGAACACAGGTTACTCATAAACTCTTTAAATCTAATAATTCCAAAACCCACTCTAACTAACACAACTTAACCTCTACAGAAAAGTCATTCACAATCTGGCAGAAAAACCCAAAAAGCATACGAAAACTGGAGTCTAAAATATAAAATATAAAGTAACCTAAAACTGCCTAAGTCAAGTCCAATAAGAAAATAATACTATTCTAAGCAGGATATAAAAATTTAAACTTCTGCTCATGCAAGACCACTCACGAGAATATATGCCTTGCCTCGACACACACTGCCTCATGTGCTTCTATATCATGACACTGACTAGCAACAAAGAAGGGACATACTGATAATTTCACCGTTAGATTTTCTTGATAGCAGTTAGGATGCATTACACACAGGATTTCTTCTGTTTGTTTCTCCTTGGAGTTAAAAAGTCGTCTACTGGGAAGCTTTGAAAAGGGCCACAGAACTAGTTGCCTTTTCTGTCTAGTAACAATATCCCCTGTTAACATTCTCCACTTATTTGACCTAGAAGCTTTCGAGCCCAAAGGTAGGAAGACCAATTATTCTGATTAAATGACCATGGGTCTCATTCTCTT